TTAAATTATTTCACATAACTTGAGCATCAAAACTCAACATACATGACCAAAATTTCAACATATGACCAAAAATTCAATATGTATGACCAAAATGATTTCAACACTGAAGTCAGTAATGCTTTATGAGCTCTAAACATTCTACTGTAATTGCACAACAACAAATGAGAAAAGTATTCTAACCTTTCTGATGATGGGTTTCTGATTTCCCAGAGAGCCATACCAACTGACCAGCTTATTCCAGGCCTCAGTAGGCACTAAAACATAGTCTAACTCATCTATAAGATGTTCTTTCAGCGACTGGGACTTGCGATCTATGATACAGAAGCAAAACAAAAAAGGGGAAAATTATAATACATCATAATCATAACATACATAAGAAGCCTTTTAACAATAAATTATACATAATCCAACCAATACCCATTACATGTTATTTTTTTAAAAGTGGCAGTGGCAGGTTATTTAGGGAAGTCAATAGGGGATTGAGCTTTCAAGCTTACAAAAAGGTGCAAAGCATTAAAAAAAAAAAAAGTTAAGTAATTTACTAATTTACCACCTAAAGTTTGCATTTTGCCATCTGCAAATGACCTCAAAACATATGGCCATAAAAAAATGAAAGCTTTTATATTTATCACCAAGTATTTATTAAATAATAATTAAAAGCAGTGCTTCCCAGAGGTTTGAAATATACTTTCAGAGGTAGCCAGATTGAAACACACCTTCTACCCAGAGCACATAAATGGTCAACTATATGCGACAGACCAAAAAATTATGTGATTTTTAACTATATTTTTATTATGACACTGTTATTTACCCTTTCTTTTCAATAGGTTAAAGTTATTTTGAAAAAAAAACAGGCTGTTGACATAAAAGAAAGGCACAATTTCTCTTTTATGCCATTTAGGAGCCATGTGCACCCCACTGATAGGTAAAGGCTGCTCTGTCACTTTCTAAAGTTGCTTTATTAGCATGACATTTACACTCTCCAAAATAAAGGTACGAGAGCATTCACAGGGGTAGTACCTTTTTAAAAAGGTACACATTTGTACCTAAAGAGTCTATATTAAAAACTCAGGGATACATATTAGTACCTAAAAAGTACGAAATTGCATCTCTTAAATGTTTTAGGTGCTAATAAATCAAGTTCAAATGTGCACCTTTTGAAAAGGTACCCCCCTAGTGACAGCTCTCGTACCTTTATTTCAGAGAGTATAGTACAGTATTGCCAAAGCATTTCATATATATATATATATATATATATATATATATATATATATATATATATATATATATATATATATATATATATATATATATATATATAAAGTATGTAATACAATAACATCATTAAATCAATAAAATATACAGCAAATGATAAATAAATAACAGAAAAAGAAATAAAAATAGACATTACTGCAAAAATGATAATTACTAGAATAAAAAGTGTAGACTATTTAAATCAGGCAAATTAGCTGATTAGCCATTTCTAATGGTGTACAAATATTTTGCAGCCAGGATAATTTGTTCTCTCTGAGTTTATAGTACAGTTGATCTAAGTAGTTTATCAATTAATTATTTAATGTTTTTCTTAAAAAGGTAATGCAAAAACACATACAAATAACAACAACTTTAAAAAGCAAAAGTAAAACCCAAATCCTGAACATTTTAAGACATCCAAGAACTATGGTCAGAGAGATTTTGGAGTATCTCTGTGGGTCTGCTGGCTTGGGATTGTCTGTGTGAGTGTTGACGGTTCTCGTGCACACAGAACCAGCAGTAGGAAACATGCAGAGCGAGAGAAGATTTTCCACTGGTTAATCGATCGCAAATGTTTGGCTTTCTTGGGTGGCTGTTGATACACCTGGGCAGCCCACCCAAAAAAAATCTATGTATGTGAAGCATGTAATAATATACTTGATAATGCAATACTCACATTTGGTGCTTGTTGGCTTAATTCTGGTCTGATTTCAGGTCACAATAGTTTTGGACTAAAATTTGAATTAATAAAGTAGTTATTCTGAGATGATCTTCCTCTCCAGTGAGCTGTTAAAGCTATATATTGTTAATTATAGTCTGTACTGAATCAGTGAGTGTGTCAATATACCTAAAGGATTAGATCAATTGGACTCATAAGCTAATCATTACAAAAAATATATAAATGAAAAGACTTGATTCAAACAGTTTGCATTTAATGGAGAAATAATTTTTAAAAACCTTAAAAAATAAATATTACCAAAAAACCTTTCTTTTTATATATATGTATATTCTGGTGGCAAAACATGCCCATTTTTCTTTATAACATCCATCTGTAAGAATGTGGCAAAACAACACTCAAACATTCACTACCTGAAAAGAGGCCAGAGTTGTCAATGGGTCCCGGGTAGAGATTGTGCTCTCCAACATTGTACAAATCCCAGCTGTCAAAGCCAACATATTTCTTCCACTGTTTGAACCACCGGCTGTCAATCAAATACCTAAACAAATGAAACAATAGCTGGAGATCAGTGAAGAGTCAGAGGGAACAGACAATTAATGTGTTTCTCCTAAATTATGAGCGCAAAACAGTATGCAAAGCGAGTTTCTATTTAGTTACATTACACACCTACCAATTTAGAACAGTCAATAAGGATGCCTTTCTTAATCTCATCTAAAGTAGGAACTTGTTCCACTACATAATCTTGTTAGCACTTGATTCCCTCTGCCAAGAGACAGTCATTGCACTTTGATAAAATGTCAAAAATGTAAATTAACTGACTGGAAACCCAAAAGTGAAAATTTTGTCATTGTCGGCACATTGACAACTTGAATGTTTACATGCATTTTAGCAAAACAAAACGCATGGAATGTAGCAGAAGCTGTCATTTTGAATGAACTAACGTTATTCCTTTAAATCCAAAATGGTGATTTGCACAAGCATAAAGCTGAACTAAAAAAATAAGTCTATTAAAGGTGTCAAGACTCTACTTCTCGGATTGCTTTCCTAAATGAAAGCCACACAGAAACAAACAAACAAAAAAACAAATACAAATATTTAACAGATAATGTATTACATGTTTTGACCTTCAATCTACATAATTTCAAAATATATGTATGTGCATGTCTTATCGGTGCCATAAACTCTTCTGCTGCCTAACAACATTTTGAGTGACTGGGTGTTATCCAGTGGCCATGACAAAGCACTGCCTGCAATACTTGTTTATGTAGCTTACACTCCTTTCTACAACTTTAAAAGGAGAAGTCTGACCTTTATTTTAATCTAGTTTGTCAGTAACCCTAAAATAAGTTTGACGTCTGACAGAAAATAACACTTAACCCGTCAACGAAACGCAAACTAGGCTGGCTAACTAGCCTCGGCTAAAGAAGTGCCTTACATGCCTGACGCTACTTTGCCATGCAACATTAGCTTATCAGAAAACTGATAACCGACAACGGGGTGCTTGAGTTTATTTAACGTTACCAACTCTTCAGCTAACGTTACTGACGTGCCTAAAACACCTTATGCATTAAAGAGACATTTACGGTGGAAATACTGTGATGTTTGGGGAGAAATGGAATGCTAAGGTTGGTTAACCTGTGCTAACTAGCTACAAGACAACTTCATCGTTTTTTAACCGACATAAATTGTGTTAAATGCTAATAATATTAAACCACAAACTGTTGTGTCATATCGCCTGAACAGTAATGTACTCTATATAGTTTCTGGGTGTTAGCAGAACATGTGGCTGTCCACAGCCGGAGAAGTGAAGGGATTTCCGGCAGCCGGTGTCTCCGTCGGTAGGCCTGAGCTGATGCCGACAAGCGTGCCATGACTACGGCTTTATTTAAAAAAAACTCTTACCACTCGTCTCCCTTTCGAAGTAGCGTTTTTAGCAGTGTCCCGATGCTCTGCTTTTGACTCTCGGTGGACGGTACTGGTGTCTGTGTGATCACCGGCTTCTCGTCAGGGTCCGAAGCGTTACCCGACTCGGGTCCGCCTCCCTCCGCCATCGTGCAGCGAGTGAACCCGCAGTGACCGCGAGCGCGCTGCTGAAGTATACCGGGGACGCGCAGCGCTAAAGGGAGCGCGCACACTGGAGCTACTGCCGAGCTCGACTAGCCGCTACATGCAATCTGGGAGCGGCTGATAAATGAAACAAACCGAGCCCTCTGGTACAGCGGTTAATAAACATTTTTTATTAACTGAAATAAGTTTACTATGTTTTAGTTTAATATTGTTACATGTTCTGCCTATAAACTGTAATTTAGGCCTATATTCAATTGTTATTGTCCAATTACTTTATATGAACATGACCAGAAATGTATTTTCTGCTAAGACATTTTTACAAACACTGAGTGCTAGTGAAGTTTAACCTTAAGTTTAACTTAATGATATAAAACGCTCACCAAAATGTTTTTATTTTTACAATTTGTAAAAAAAAAAAAAAAATTATATATATATATATATATATATATATATATATATATATATATATATATATATATATATATATATATATATATAATTGTAAAAACAATTCTTAAAATGTTTCAAATTTGAGATTGAGATCTCAAAATTGATAAAACTGTTATTTCTGACTGCAAATATGCACAGGTATGACTTTCTTTCAGGATACATTTGACTTATGTTTGTGAGTTTTGTGTGTGGTGTTCACATAGTAAATGCCATAGCATAACCTTTACATAGATTTGTACCATTCCAGAATAGAAAAAACAAAATAAAACAAAATGTTCATGATGAACAGTGGTTTGGTGTCCACATCATGACACCTCACTTTATACACTTTTTATATATTTATTTGTATTTATTATTTATGTCAGTTAGCTACTAAAATGATTAATGTTCCCTATTAAATTCAGTCTTAGAAGATTTAATCGAATAGTGAATTGCAAAATATTTCATTCGGAGCTGGATCTGTTTCATGAGTCAGCTGAACTGATTCACAAACCCCCTCTAAAAGATTCATTCATGAATCAAACATAACTGAATCAACAAATGCCAAAAATATGTTGCATGATGGTTTTATTAACATGTTTACAAAACTGTACTGGTTTCGATAAATAGCGTTTTATTCAAAGGTCCAAAAATGTACATTTTTGTTTTCTTTAATATAAATGATCAACATTTTAGTTAAATCATGATTATATTGTTGTGTAGGTATTTTTTAACAAGCCACTGCAGGGAGGATCAGGGGCCTGCACCGTGAAGCCAGAATAGTTTGCACCAATTCTGTTTTTTATATACCATAAAGGTAGCTCAGCTCATTCATTCATTTATTCATTCATTCATTCATTCATTCATTCATTTATTCATTTTCTTTCAGTTTAGGCCCTTATTTATCACAGCATGTTTTACGCAGCGGATGCCCTTCCAGCCCCAACCCAGTACTGAGAAAAACCACACTACAGCCAATTAAGAGCAGTACACCTATAGCGCATGTCTTTGGACTGTGGGGGAAACTGGAGCTCCCGGAGAAAACCCACACCAACATGGGGAGAACATGCAAACTTCACACAGAAATGCCAGCTGGAACCAAACTAGCAATCTTCTTGTAGTGAGGCGACAGTGCTAACCACTGAGCCACCATGCCACCTAGCTCAACTAAGCTACTCCATAATACCACAACAAGAGTGATTAAATTCAAGTTGCCGTCACGTCACCTAAAACCCAAGACTGGTGCAAACTAAACAGAAATTTAACTGGCTAGACATCTAATCTGGCTTTATGTTACAGGCCCCAGTTGAAGTTTTCAAAGTGGCAGAGCAAATAATTAAATTTTGCTGGAAATTACGAAGACTACACTTGTTTCTTGAAAGCAATGAATCTGCACAAATGGACCAAATAAAATCAGCAGTGGTAGAAAAGCTAGTTAAAAAATAAATACAGAAAACAGAACAGTGCATGACTGTTTTTGTATTAAAAATGTGCACATCCAGGAAAGGTGATGTGGAAAAATGTATTAAAAAAAAAAAACAAAGATGTTTAATAAAAGTCCAAAAATATATATATTACAAGCTAACAACTCAATAAATATGAATTTCTAATGAGGAAAATCTACTCAATGATCTTAATTCCAAATTGTTTGTTTTTAAAAACAATATACTTAGTGTGTGGTGTGTTATTGGCATCATAAAGCATCTAAAAGTCTATTACATTTTGAAAATACTATTTATGAAACAAACTAAATTATGGACTGCTCCATTTTAAACCACTTTACTTCCTAAAACTTCCTTTTTGTCTGTTTGGTCCAAACAATCACACTGTCCTAGTGAAATAAGACCAAGAAAAGGGCTTTTAAAACAACTAAAATTAATATAAATTTGTTTAAGAGAAATCAAATAAAAAATATTAATATTAATGGAGGAATGTTAAAAAAAACAGCTACACTATGGTTTTCACTGTAATCTGTAAAATCCATTAAGCTCTAGGCTTGATCAAACTATAATGCTCAAGTCTGAGCAAAAAATCAGCAGTGGAGGGAACGGTGCATGCATATGACACAAAATGTGATATGTCAGCAATGATGTTTATGACACTTTCTAGAAAGACAACTCTGACTGGAAGCGTATGGTCACTCCAAAACCAGTCCGACAATTCGCTCTTTTTAACTCAGTGAGGTCTGCCAACACCTCTCAGTAGTGAACAGGCACTTAAAAGATGCCCGTTGGCAAGTCTTTGCTGAACATCCCAGACAAATCCAAGTCCTTACTCATTAGATCCTCCTCAACATTCTCCAAAGCCCATTGGTGATCAGTCAACTCCAGCGCCTCCCATTCAGCCTATTAAAAGACAGACAGAACATAACATTCGGGAGATAAAACCTACCTAGCTTGTAGTCTTAATTTTTTAAAACTAATAGCATACACTTAATAAGATTATAGTACAGTTAATAATTTGTTATACCTTGAATGCTTTGTTTGTATCAGCTGGCATTGCCATTGCAGCACCACTCATCTGTTCCTGCATAATGCGAGACTGATCTGCACCTGTTGCAAATGTCAGAAAATTAATTGCATGCAGAAAGTAAATTTAGCCAATACAATACAAATGCTACATAAAAAATATAATTGTAAAATTAAGAAATAGGTAATCCTTAAATCATGTCCAGTTCATCATTTACTCACCCCTTCTTTCATGTCATTCCAAATCCAAAATTATGGCTATTATTATTATTATGCTATTAAACTATATTAAAGGTTTCCAATAATTGGCTTACTTTCATCATATATTAAAAAATAAATAAATTTTCTTCTAATAGACATTTGCAGAATGACCTCACAGTGTCTAAAGTGACTCATCAAGGACTCTTGCTGGGTCCCATTCAGAAGGGCTCATCCACATGTCTTAATCCCTTCAGAGGGTCACAGTTTTGAATACTTCAGTATAGAACGACTCTTCAAATTTTTATCAGTCCGAAGTGCCCTTTTTGGGGGCAATATATCCTGACTGTCTGTCTCGCTAAGAACCTCTCCTTTTCAGAGAGCCTACTCTGTTCTGATTGGTCAGAGGGCCAGTCTGTTGCGATTGGTCTACTACTTAACGCATATGTCTGAAATCACTTAGGGCACCTATCAAACAAAATCAACTTATGAGAGCTGTTTGGACAGAACTGCATGCAAGTATAGTGTGTTCATAGTCATATTGGAGTCATTTAAACACAACACGTCTCTTTTTTATTTTTTGATGGTAAAATAGGATCCATATTGTAGCGAGGCCCACCACAACATGATGTAGGAGTGTGGTTTTGCCTACCCATCAAGCAAGCCGCCTTTTCACTGCACAAAACAAGCGAGAGACCGGAAGTCAGTCATTTCCAATGGAGAGTAGTCCCGGAGCTGCGTGGAGTTCCAATCATCCTCACAAAATTCAGATCTGATTTGAGCTGCGGATACGTTGAAATATTTGAACTCATGCGACTAGGCAGTATGCGACCGGCTGACGGGTCTTGATGTAATCACGTGTTGCCCAAGCAGGTTTATGTGCGCAAGATGAGAAATAGTAAGGGTTTTAAGTATTTTTTAAAATCAGAACAAAGTCTATATATATAAAAAAAAAAACATTTTATTCATAAACGAGTAATAAAAAAATATTTTTTAATGCTGTCTCTACATTCTCTCCAAACCTTTTATAAGTTTCTAGTATTCATTCATTCCTATATTCAACCATTGTGAACTCACACAGAATAAAAGCTCTTGCTTTTGCACTCCTTTATTTCGGAAACCACCAGAATCAACTTCTCTCCCATGGTGGCCGAATAAACTGAAAATTCTGTGCGACTGCCACAGTGCCACAAGGGGGGCGTATTCTGACAGTCGCGTAGGAATGTCATGTGCAGAGGAAAGGCAGCTTCAGCTTTACATGTTAACTTGTCTCAGTAGTAACGCATATAATTATGTCCACAAGAGGATTTGCTAAGAAATTGAGATTAAAAGATCTGTTCCAACTCTCTGTGATCAAACTGCACTGCAAAGGACAAAGAGTTGGGGGGAGAACCAGCTTAACTCCATTTAAAGGCACAAGCACAAAAACGACTACAATTCACTCTGACCCAAAAATTGACTTTTTCAACAGTCTATAATGAACTATCTGCTGACATATGACAACATGGTCCTCACGGCAACCTGAGTTCGATTCCTGGCTCAAGGTCCTATGCCGACCCGTCCCTTCTCCCAATGTTTCTAGTCTGTCTTCCACTATCCTTTACCAGTAAAAGGTGAAAAAACTTAAAAAATAATTAGAAAAATAAAAAAAAATAATAATCTGATTGGATATCTGATACTTCCCGGACACATTGTCAAGACACAAAAGACTTATTTGACATCTCGTAAAAAGCTTAAAATTGAAGCCCCTTAAATTATTTGAATTTTGAATGAACAGGTTTTATTGAATGTATTTAGTTCTCATCTTTTGGAAGCAAGAGCGAGTCAAACTAAACACTGTTTGTGGGTGGCTGATGAGAAATTATATGCTGGCATTATGCAAATATGGTGCAAACCTATGTTTGTGCAAAAAGTTAGAATGAAATGAATGTAGACTCATTTCAGGCAGGCTAAACTGGTTCTTTTTTGCAGACTTTTACATTCACAAACAAGTATATTACACACTACATCTAAGATAAGGTCTGAAAAAGCCAAATAGAGAGCAGATAGAGATATTTTTTAATCAAACCTGATAGTGTAAAGGGAAGTGCAACTCTCACTTTAAGACAAAATTTAAAGGCAATAGCTATGGCAACAGTCCAATTTTAAATAAATAAACAAGCATATGTTTAAAGTTTTCAAATAATAAACAAAGTCATATTTGTTTAAGATTCTAAATAAATCAGCAAATCTTTATATAATACTACAACAAGCCATCACTGCTGGGGTTAAGTCTGTCAAATATGTTGTTCTATTGCATATAATTACCATTATCCTGTCCAAGAATCAGGGAATACATACTCCTGAGACCAAAGACATTCAGGAAATACCAAGATGCTGAGCTCACCCTGCAGATTAATACACCAGGAGATTATTTAAAGACAGCTTTAGGTAAAAAGGAAAGTGACACTCAAGGGTGAAAGAGCACTAACCAGGAGGCATCTAGAGAGAGCAACTCAATTCCCTGCTGCAGCATTGGCTTGAAGCGGAGTGTGAGAGGGAACGGTACTTTTGCTTGGAGGAGAAAGCAAGAATTACAAATGCGTTAAGACACGTCTTGTAAGAATACACCTCAACAAGCCATATTTTATTCTGAATATTGTATGTCTTACTTGTAACAAACCCAGAGAAGGTCCAGTTGATCCAACCACCAATAAGAATCATAGGCAGGACATTTGTCACGTTGCCTTTCATCATATCGGTCAACATGCTCGGATCTAAAAGAGTGAAAAACATTCAATTAATCTCGTCACTCCTTTCTTGCTCAGTTTCTCTTCATAAAAGGCAAATCTTTGACCTCTTGTGTCTGTTTCAAGAAAAACTCACCAGTCATCGGAGACGGTGGGACCACCTTTCTCTTAGTCTTCTTAAAAAACCCATCTTCTTGGTTATTGAAGTAGAATTTTCTCATCAAGAAAGACTGTTTTAGCACAATACAACAAATCAGACGTTCTACTTTGATCACATCGCAAGCAAAATGCAAAAAAGATTGAAGAAGGCTCACTTGTTTAGGGATGTATTTGCCATTTTCTCGTAAAACTCTGCTCCTGATAAGAACCTGGCTGTGTGGAGGACATTCAAAAATAGTTTGAAATATTTTGTGTGTTTTAGAAATAAAAGTAGACGGACGATAAATGTTACCTGTCTGAAACCTGCTCTAATGTAAGCTTCTTATCACTTTGTAACAGAATTGAGACATAATGGCGGATCACACCAACGAGAAAAGTAATAAATACAATTGGCAGCACAACCCAAAGACGGATGTTGGAGTCCAGGAGGAGCTCGGGCTCAGCCATGCTTTTTAGGAAGAGATGCTGATGGAATTTCACCACCCTGGAACATGGAAACAACACATTTTAATGTAATAATCTCCTGGATTTTATGTTCAACTGAATCCTTAAATTAACAACAAGATCATTCATTGTGAGCTGTGGACAAAATGAAGGAACAATCAATTGAATTTATCATTCATAGTTTTGTGTTTGAGTAAAGGACAACTATCTCCAAGCTAATGATGTCAATTCTTCTAGATAGAAAATACTTTATTGAGGTAGAATTGGCTTTATATTCACACATTTGTTCAGATACAGCTCCCTGTATTCTTTACTGTGGTACAGTAAATGTTCAGACTGAAATCACATTTAAGTATGACTTTAAAACAAACATAGCACTATTTAATTGACTGCTAACAATATTGTACTTTGATAGTCATTGGCTGCTAATATGATTTCACGGCGTTTCTGCAAGTTTCATCAAATCAAATTTAAGACTTTTATGAATAAGATTTTAGACTTCTGTGGGGCTAAACAATGAGGAATTTTGTGTAAATGGAAATCATGTAAAGAGATATATTGCTGTTTTTATCATGAGGAACTGTGTAATTGTTTCTTTTCCCGATTAGGGAATTTATATAAGAGAATTTGCTGTAAAAGGTCTTACAGCTGTTGTGAAATAAACATCTTTTTGCAATAAAAAAGCTATTTAGATGGATTGTTGGTGATTGGGTAACTTTGACAACTTTTTAAAATTAAGACCCATTTAAAATGATTTAAGACTAACAAAACAATATTTCTGTAATTTAAGGGCTAAAATTTTGTTTTTAAAATTGAAGACATTTTAAGACCCAGCGGAAACCCTGTTTCAATATTTAGAATTTGTTATGAATACATTACATTATAAAGGAGAATGTCTGAATGTGTGAATGTAAAACCAACTCTACCGCAGTCAATAAACTGTTGTCATTTAGAGCATAAAATGGTCGAATTGCCTAAATGTTTTTAGATCACTATAGAGTTTATTGATAGAGGTAAAGTTGGTTTTATATTTGCAGATTCAGACTTCCCCCTTAATAATATAATTTCATAAAAGTATTATTTGCAAACTCTAAATCATACTAGCAGCCAATGACTATCAAAGTACAACATTGCTCACGGTCAAATAAACAGTGTTAATGTTGATTTCAAGTCATACTGGCATGCTAATTCTGATCGAATATTTAAAGTAACATGGTAAACAGTATAGAGTCTTCTAAATGAACAAATATGCGAATATAAAACCAACTTTACCTCTATAGTTTATTGAATTTATCCATACCTAATTAACGTTATACAAAGGAAACAATTTCCAAATTATCTCTTAATTTCCCCCCGCAATAGCTAAGTTACATACAAAGCTGCAGCCTTAACATTATTAAAACACTGTAGAAGTCGATTCCTTCACGTGCCTATGAAGGTTAAATGTGTTAAAGCTGCTTGCAGCATACGGAAGCTGTGTGAGGATCCATTTGTCGTTATACCAAGCACTGTATAATTTTGTTACTAGTGTACTTGTTAATCTCTCTATATATATAACCTCTGTCTATTTTATCATTCAAAACAAACATATCAAGCAGGTGCTTTACATTACTTAAATCCACTCGTTAAAATGACGCGTCAAGCTTAGCATGTTGCTAACACCTTCTCTTTAAGGGTGGTGATGCATGATTCATTGTCATATACACACTCGCACTGAACAAACGATGTATTTTTGACGCTACAGGCTGCGACAAGTGAGAGTTGATCATAATGCATTTATTGTACCTGCTCTCGTATTCAAATGACGGTTTATCTGTGAGAAGACCGATAACGACTCGAATCAGGATGCGACACCATAGAGCCACTGCTGCCCTGAAGATGTGAATAAACCAGAAGCGAACATACTTTCAAAATAAAAGTCGGTAGAGAAACATTTTCATAATGAAAGTTCCTACATACAGTAGAATTACAAGTAGTTATGTGTAAATATAATAGAAATGTTATTAGTCTTACTGTTCAAGCTTTTCAAGTATTTACAAGAACTAGAAAAACAATATCAAAATGTTTATGGTTCTCTGGACTTGCTATTTTTTCAATAATTAAAATAAAATATAATAAATTTTACTTAAAACGTTATGTATCCAGATAGCTGATGATTATTTTGAAGCGTATAACAATTGTTTCTATGGCTCTCTCTCTCTCTGTGCATATGCATGTATGCATGTATCTGTCTTTGCATGTATCTATGTACCTATCTATGTATGCACGTCTATATGTATCTATATATATATGCATGTATCTATAAAGATTTATGCGTCTGTGTATATATGTATCTATGTAAGTGTGCATGTTTATATGCATCTATGTGTGTGTGTGTCTCCATTTATGTGTCTGCATCCATCCATCTCTCTGGTACATTCAACTGTGAAATAATAATTATATTTAACATAAAATTAATTTAAGGAAGAAAATGTTGACAACTTCATGGACTTATTTTTGTATTTATTCATTGAATGTGGCAATTGTGGGGATTCATTCTTAAGACTAAAGTAACAGTCTTTTACCTTTAAATAACATTAGACAATATTAAAATTGTGCTCAAAAAGTACAAAGAACAAATCTCCAAATGTATCCTTTTACACATTTTTTTTGCACATTTTAATACTGTGATGTTTAAGAAAACAACACACAAACACTCGTCTTTTACAAACCACTTCCTCTCTTATCAACACTGGCATAATCATTAACAGGCAGTTTCTGCAGCATTTGGTCCACTGAAAGAAACTACAGCAACATAGAACTAAAAAAGGTGCAATAACAGAAACATTTGAAGTAGTGCGACTGAAAATGCACAGATCCATTTCATAATAGCTTGAAGCTCTGAGACGAAAACAACAAACATAAATATAAACGGCAAAACCTCAAACCCAATGCAAAAAGGAAACAGCGCTGATGCACCTGGGTGAACTTTAACAGCCTATTTAAATGTTTTCATACACTCAGCCCACACAAAACGCAAGCAAATTTGCACTTCTCCACTCATACATCATAAAAATCATATCATTTACACCAGATCGACTTTTACCATGATATATCATTGCACTTACGTCATCACACACACACACACACACACACACAGAGACAAGCTGATGTCCAAATGATCCTAAACGTGGATGCTTGTTCTCTTTCGCGTTATTGAAATTACCTGAAATCAAAAACACAATTGATAGATCCTTTATCGGAAAACGAAGACGGTGGAAAATAAGGATGGTTACATTCCCATGCCTAACACTGAGATATCAAGCTGCCATATTTCCCCCGCCCAAGAAAACCAAATGCATTTCAGTCTGCTGCTCTGGTGTGAAGCGAGTTGGTACAGATCAGGATCAGATGCACAATGGGAGCACATCCTTGATGCAGAACACTGAATGTGCGCGTTAAATAAAACAAAAACAAAAAACATATAAAAGAAATTATTAAACTCAAAATTCAGTCAGTTAGAAGGCGATACTAGAACAGGAGAGCTCCCACACTGCCCACTTCGCTCTGTTCCTTCACAAAGATCTCAAAGTACTGGTAGATGATAGTGACGGCCAACAAAATTCCAGTTCCTGATCCGATGGCTCCCAGAAAGTCAGCCATGACTGAGAGACCGCCTATACACAGGCCTCCGAAGGCTGCCGCTGTAGGGATGTACCTAAACGAGGATTTGTCATGCTTTAGTTAATCAGTGTCTGACTTATTGAGTGTAGTCATGTTTGAGTGGTCTGCATGTTTTACCTGTTCAGTTCATGGACCATTGATGTTTCTCTGTGTCCTCTCATTACCATCTGCTGTTCTTTAAGCTGTTTGGCAACCTAAATAATGCAAAGTATATATATGAAGCCTAGTTACGTTGAGCAGTTTGTGAGCAATACCCAAGACAACTGTATTTTCGTGAATAGAAATCAGGGTATTATTTAATGCTGTATTTAGTGTAGACAGAATCACGATGAAAAAAGTATGACCAACTGGCAAGTAAAGCGTTTCATTTAGTCACAAACATTAATTTTTTTTTTACTAATTTAGTCCTTGATGAGATTTAATTTTAGACTTTGGACTGTTGTGTATTGATTTATAATACAGAACCCCAATAATTCTATTTAATATCTACTTCTAATTTAAATATTTATTCTGTTTTAAATACAATTGAATTTATAGAATTTGCTGTGGAGAAAGGCAGACTAAATAATGCAATAAAAACCATTTTAAACTGTTTTATATAACATCTGAATGAAATTATAAATTATTACATACATCATGCAACTTTTTTTCAGCAATTTAAGTGTGTGAGATTTGTATTGCAGAATTCTAATGCAGAAGTCTAATGCTCTTACATCTTTGGCAGATGATCCGGAAACTTCAATCCAGGTCTTTGAGAAGAAGGCACACGATCCCAGCATGAAGATGATGTAGATGATGGCATGGATTGGATCCTCCAGAACTGTGCCAAAGGACTCTGGGGGTGAGAGGTAGTAGCAAAGGCCACCTACTGGGTAAGCACGAGCCGGTCCTCCAGTTGAGGTATCCTGTTAATGAAATATAGTTGGAGTTATAGGTTTAAACTGCAAATTTGGTCTGATAATCAAGTTGTTAGCTGTATAATAAGTACCATGTATCTCTTTATAGGCAAACAAACTTGATGGAGACTTATTATCCTCCTTTTAGAAGATTTAAAACAAGTCTCTGATGTCCCAAGAGCATGTACGTGAAGTTTCAAATCAAAATACCCACCAAATAATGTTTTATAACTTTGTGAAACAGCCTTTTTAGGCTTTTTGATCACAATAGTGCAATTTTAGTGATTCAATTGCAAATGAGATGTGTTCTTTTTAAAAGAGGGTTTAAAAAAAAAAAACACCCTATGCTACTGTGGAAAAGATCATCACTATTAGGTGGAACTTTCCTTCTCTGATTTTATGTACAAGGGAGAATGTGGATCGTTTCTGCAGACTGTTTTCACACATTGTTGTTATAAGAAATTAAATTATTAAATTTTTACCATTAGAAGCTGGTTATGCTCACAGACCTGTCACACAACCGTGTTTAAACCCCTTATAAAAGTTATTTTTGCATAATGGGTCCACCTTTAAGAAGGAAAAATATATATATATATATATATCTGTCACTTACCGACCAAGTCCCCAAAAGGTTGACCAGGAAGTTTCCACTGAAGCGAGTTGAGAGCATTTGAGAGATGACGTAAAGATTGGACACCAGTGCAGACTGCAGGATGATGGGAATGTTGGAGGTGTAGAAGAGCTTGATGGGATAGGTGTTGTACTGGCCACGGTAACGTGCAGATTTGATGGGCAGATCGACTCTAAATCCCTGTGGAATGAGGATAAGCATGTAACACTTGAAATTTAAAATATGTATAATTACCGTTCATAATCTAAAGTGATAAACTGTTCAAATTGCAAAAGAAAAAAAAAAGTGGTCTATGCTTGCTTGTAAAGCTGCACAATTAGTAATAACTATTATTTTTAAAGCTACTGTTTGCAACTTTTGGTTTTTTAGAAGTTTACAAGTAAAACTGCAGACTTTCACTTTATGGATACAACAACCCACGAATGTACTAGGTTACTCTGCAGCAATCAGCTTAACAGATCAAAATACACAACTTTTGTGTTTTCCGAATACGTAAAGAGAAAAACAATTAAACAAAGTTCTGCAATTGTAATTTCACTAAGTTTAAGAAAGGGAACCATCATACAACACTAGTATAGCAAGGTAATTTAACAGTCTTTCTCCCTCATTAAACATTAAACCAAGCAACTTTTATTTGGGCAGCTGATTTCTAGGCACCAAGTTTGAGAGTTATTTTACTTAAATTTGTAAATGCAGGTAAAACAAGTGACCCACATTCAAATAAATTACAGATAACATGGTGAGAATTGAGCAAATGTCCTGTCAATGTAGGCAATCTGAGACATTTAAGACACTGAAAACACCATAATATTAATAATAATAATAATAATAATAATAATAATGAGCTGCACATATTGAAAAGTACTAGGGATGTAACAGTATCAGAATTTCACGGTACGGTAATACCTCGGTATGAATGTCACGGTACGGTATTTATTGAATCATTTACAGGAAAAAACAAAACTTATGAAAATACTCCAAAAAAGTGCCAAAAGTGTCAATGACATACAAATTAGCCATCTATCTGTAAGCTTTGAAACAGGAACTTCAATTTTAATAACAAAAAATTATTAAACCATGTAAAAAAATAAAGTTTCAATTTAGTATTGTTGAAAACTCATCACATTCAACATTTAATCACACTCAGCCCATCTACCCAGATGAGAGCTCTGCTAGTCGGACCTCTCATCAAGCATCTCCCGCTGGATCTAATCTCACTATATTTATTAAACGGGATATTTCATTTATCTTGTTGTCTTTATCTAACGACATATTCCCTGACTTTGGTCATTGGAATCTATTACTTGTTCTCAGGTAACGTGTTTTGGCTGAGCGCAGAGATAAGTTAATGATTAATGTAACCACGTACATTCTGTATATTGACTGATCGCCTTTATTTCCTATAATGTAAAAACTTATTGTATGTTATACTTTTAAAATGGCCATTATCGATTCTTAAAACTGATACTCAGCAAAAGAGAGGCTGTGTTTCGTATTTTCACTGAAATTGAAAGGAGGCAGTTGTTATCGGCTCCGTTTTGTTATAAATATCCACACAGTGAAGATGACGCTCATGCAGCACGGCGCCTCAACATCTCTGCTGTCTAAGTTGCTAATATTAAAATGAAAATAGGCAGTTCCTTAAATCATGTTTACATTTTATTGTTGAGAAAGTGAAACAACGAAGCCAGGGTGATGTGAATGAAGTTATAAAGTACACTGTTCCCTTTGAAGATTTACCCGTGTCCTCGGTATAATCTGCTTTTCCATATCAAACTGAGAAGAAGAGACTGCAGCCTTGATCAAACTTGCGAAGTCTGAACTTACACGGAGATAATGCAGGACTGAACTGTGCGTGTAAAGCAGGTCGCACACCAGAAGCGACGCTCGGCGGCGCGCCGCGCAGCGCCATGTATTTTAGAATTCTAATCATAGGTTTCTATCAGGATACACACACCGGCGCCGCAAGTCGGCGGCTGTCGGCGGCGCCCGGCGACGGCTCAGGATGCAGTTCATTTTTCAGCCGAGCCACAGAGCGCCATCTGATTAGTTTCATGTTAAATATCATTCGAATGTGCGCGTCTGGTGTGCGATACTTTAATCTGTCATGTACGCGCCGTGTCGCGGCGCCGAGCGGCGCTTCTGGTGTGCGACCTGCTTTAGAGTTTTCCAGCTCTTTTCATCCCCGCTTCTAGCAGCACACTCCATTTCCGCATTACTGGATCTGTAGCAACAACAGACCGCAAGGGATGATGGTCAAGCATGGGCTGATGGCAATTGTAGTTTTCGTTACCTCCCGTTCGCTTCATTCGCCTGAGCAAATTTTCTCAGAAGACCTATAGTTTTACCGAGTCATGCGACTTCGGTAATATCGAAAAAAAATAATATTGCGGTATGACGGTATTTACAATACCGTTACATCCCTAAAAAGTACAGTGCTGCACTTCACTCATAAAATCAATTTATTCAATTGAGAGGCTTTGTGACCAAGCACCAAGAAAGAGTGAAATACTGACTCAATTTAGATGAACTGTCATGTTGTTGGTGAATCTATACCTGGAAGTATATGACCACAGCAAAGACGAAGATTGTAGCGATGAGGTTCATGAGGTTGGGCAGGTTCTGTCTGTAAAAGGCTTCTCTTAGAGCTCGCACTTTATCAGTACGAGTGGCCAATAGGTGAAAGAGAGCAATGATGGCTCCTTCAAACTCCGTGCCTGAATGCACAAACAAAATTCAGTCAACATTACGTTATGGCATTAAAGAATGGTTCAGAACAAGATGCTGTATCCTGAACACAGACCTCTTCCTGTGTTGACTGTTGTTGGGCTGAATGCCTTCCATACGATTGTCTCACAGATGTTGGTGGCGATGAAGAGAGAGATACCAGAGCCCAATCCATAGCCCTTTTGGAGTAACTCATCCAGCAGCAACACGATCAGACCGGCTACAAACAACTGCCAAAAACAAATGTCCAAATTAAACACAACTTACATAAAGCATGCAGACCATAAAGTAACAACTCACCCAAGAATGAACATTTTGTGCATTTACTCGGCCTTAAGTTGTTTGTTCGAAACCTTTAGAAGTTTTTCTTCTCTGAACACAAAAGGTGATATTCTGAAGAATGCTGGTGGTCAAATCATAGCCATTGACTTTGAACCATTGCAGAAAAAAGAAAATACTATGAAAATGAGAAGGTTTCATCAACTGTTTGGTTCCCTGCATTCTTTAAATGATCATCTTTTGTGTTGAACAGAAGAAAGAAACTTCTACATAATTAGATCAAATGGTGGGGGGATGAAACCATCCCTTTTAAATAAAGCTTTTTACAAAATAAGATTAAAAATGTGGCTCTATTATTTTTTTAATAATAATGGTCATTTACATAGATAGTAAGTCCAAATAGAAATTAACAGACAAGATTATTTCAACAATTCATATAAACATTGCTGTGTTATTCAGAGCAAAGTCTTTTGAAACTGAAGGCAAATAAACAACCTATGATGATAACATTAGATTTGGGCAAAAACAAGTTTCGTAACATGGTAAATGCAATCCAATGTTTTGCTGTTGCTGTCAGAATTAGCACACTGTAAAACCCAACGGTCATCGTCATTAAAAGAAAAGTGTAGTTAACTCAAAATTGACAAAGTTAATTCTACTCATTTGAAACGAGTTTTAAACTCGGTGTTAAAGGTAATGGATTAATTAACCCTTTGATGCACAAGCTATAAAATAGATATTGAAAAAATAAGCTAAGATGGGCCACTTTAGACCCATGTAGTGCATCAAAGGGGTAAATACCTCATTACTTTGATTTAAATGTTTAAAAGTTCACAGTTCTCATATATATTAGGTCAAACTCATGGTTTGTTGCAATCGGTTTCCTCAAACTTAACTTATTGGGTTTTACAGTACTCAGTTGGTTTGAGTTCTCTTAAATTATTGGGTTTTACTGTGCTCAAATTGCTTAATTTACTCAAATGGATTAAGTTCACAGTACTCGTTAAGATTAGTTTTTAAACTTAAATGGTTTGTTGTCAGCAATTTCCTCAAATGGTTTGAGTTACCATTATTTTTTGGGTTTTACAGTGTAGTATGATTTCCATTACAGATTTGTGCAAATTTCTAAATGTTGATAAACAATTTTCCACTAACCGATATTACGCGACTTGCAATAGGTCATAACACACATAACTGTGATTAATATTGGTAGATTTACACATATTGCATGCAAATTTGGAGACAGGAAGGAGTTTGAGGAAATTGTGGAAAGCCCCTTAAATTTGTAAGTGGACACATACAATGAGGCATGTCTGTTTTAGGAAACAATTTCACAGAAGAATAGTTCAGAATTTTCTGAATGAACAAATCAGTTTTTTGTTGCTGTAGTACAATGCAATAGGCCATCTTGTAAAATATGCAAAGCTGATGAGTTTCTTGAATACATTTGGAATTTACAGCTTGTTTCGATAATGTCTAGATCACTAAATTAAATGCACACCACACAATATTAATGAGCAAAACAGAAAATGTGCATTATTCATTCGCAACACTGTCACAAAATTGACTTGGAATAAAGGAACTTGATTACACCAGATTAACTCGGAACTAAATGTAAAATGTCTGAACACGGTAACATTTCCTATGTGGTATCGGTCAGTTTAATCACTACGAAAATGGCTACATCAAGTGGCTAGAAACACGAATTACCTGGATGATAATGAGAAGGCAGATTCCAGCACCCATCTCTGAAGGATCTCCATACATACCAGTCATCACATAAACGATAGCCTGACCAATGGTGATGATCATGCCAAACACTGGTGGAAAAATTTTACAGTTTGACTAGATGACATTCAAAATAAGAGAAATGATGACATTAAGATGGTTTCCCATAAGTAATATTGCAGTGAGAGATGCGTAAAGTCTTTCAGTTAGTACCAGTGATCGTGAAGGCACTTCATTTTAGGTATTAGTATAAAATATGCCAGAAAATTCATGGTAAGAGAATGCGTTATTAGAATATTTTCAAGCTTGGTTTGGTTTAGTTTTCAACAAAGGATGCCTGACAGTATCGTCAAAGTGTTAAATCAAGTAAATAGATTTGCATAAAATATTGGTAACGATACAATCAGAATTCCACAAATGACCAATTTAGAGTAAACAATTCTACAGAGAGAGAATAGAAGCCATTTCTTCAAGTAAGAATAAGATCCCTTTCTATTTAATAATATATGGGTCTTACGTTTCTGAGCCCCATTAAAGAGCGCTCTGTCTTTAGGGGTGTCTCCAACCTCAATGATCTTAGCTCCAGCCAACAGCTGCATGATCAGGCCAGACGTCACAATGGGAGAGATACCCAACTCCATCAAAGTACCTGAAATACACATTTTTAAAGCAGAATTAGATTTTTATTTTTATATTTTATTATAGGTCAATAAGGAATTTTCAAAGACCACTGAATAAGCTGAATTGGCTGTAATGCATGAGTGGGAATGCAAGAGTATGTGTGTTTCCCAGTGCTGGGTTGCAGCTGGAAGGGCATCTGCTGCGTAAAACATATGCTGGGTACGTTAGCGGTTCATTCCGCTGTGGTGACCCCTGATTAATAAAGGGACTGAGCCGAAAAGAAACAATGAATGAATGAATGAATATTTACAACTCTCCTACTTTTAATCATGATAGACAAAAAAATAAAAATAAAATGTAAATCAGAGTAGCATCATTTATGCTGTCAGGAATCTTTAGAACAAGAATAATTTGATAACATACAGTATTAAGAGTTTATGGACCAAAATAGTAATTAATAGGAATGTTTATTTTTTATACGTTGCCGCTATCCTTAATCTCGCCAGGTTTTATTAATTTGACAGGAAGTTTTTAATAGTTAAAAATACAATAAACATTTTGTATGATCAATTATTACTTTGTGCATTTTAAACATAAAACGAGCATATTTTAAATAAATGTATGTAATGCTGAATGACAGCGCAAATAAGTTTTACCAATATTTTATTATAAATTTAATTTGACAGACACCAAAATAGCACATCTACTACCAAATGTCGCTCTATCTTCAAATAAACCTAACAATAGTCTGATACTTGTAGGTTATTCGTTAATACCCTTAACAGTTATTGGCGAATGCTGATTATCCTTATTTATTTATTTATTGACACATCAGCAACTTATGGCTTTATAATGACAAAATAGATATACATAAAAATATTACATGACATAACAAATTTGTTTTAAAATACGACAATTACTCAGACAAATATGTAAACATAAATAAACAAAATTCACACAAAATATGTTCAGAGTTAAATGATTTCTCAGTTTAATTTTTGATGAATAATAAGATTCTTCCTGGTACCTTTTTAAAAATGTCCATCAATGTACTTCTGTTGTCTAATGACATTCAAACTTCCACATTCCAACAAAATATGTTTTATGGTAAAAGCAGCTTGGCAGTAATTACATTTAGGTGGTCTGATTATCCTAAATTGATTAATCTACCCTAAAGTTCACTACATTTATTACTGCTGAGCAAATGTATGAAAAAGAAACAGCTATTGAAGCTTGATTAAATCACGTGTCAAACATGTAACAGCTGATTCAATCACTGTCTGACACTGCTCATTCAGTAGTACACACCTCTGTTGGATGCCATGATCACTCTCATCCAATAAAAGGGATCTGCTGAGTCCGAAGACATGATTCCAAAAAGAGGAATCTGAATGATGGAGATCATAAAATAAAGTCACATAAACAAGTTTACAGTCTTCAGAAACCAGTAAAAGCAGACCCAAAAAATTGTCAAGTTTGATATCAGAGGTTTATAAAATGTGCATGAATGACTTGTTGATCATCAACAGTTTACAACACTTGGAGCTTAGGAGTTCAGATGAGATCAAATGTACCTGGCAGCAAACCAGAAAGATGAAAAGAGTGATCGCAGTCCATAACACCTTTTCTTTGAACTGAATCTGTGATGAAGAATTTTAAAAAGTTATAAATCATCAAAATGCCACAAGGTAGAACAAATGAATAAATGTTTATATAACCAAACCACATACCCTCCTCTCAGGCTTCTGGATCTCGGGTAAAACCGCACAGAATGGTTTTATTACTTCCAAGAATTTAACTGAGGGGAAAACAAAACAGCACTTTTAGATTACAGTATTAATGCCAAACATGTGAAATCAAAACAGTGCCACTATCCCAGAAGCTTCTGATGGATTTAGTCGACGTGGCTTTTAAGTTTCTGGAGTTCAGACAAGTTAGTTGAATCTGTGTCTCCTGCAACGTCATCATTCACCTCAAAAAAACGTCGGCTTATCATCATACCATCATCTTTGCATGAAATATGTGGATAAAAACAACAACAACAAATCACGTCACAATTCTGAATAATGTTTTAAAAGTACGTTGATTCACACTAGGATGAACTTTAAGACCAAGTTAATTCCATATTTCGTAAATATGCATGATATAAATGTATTTTGCATGCAATATAATAAGAGTTTAAACTGCTTATAACATCCATGTTGAAACAAAAACTGAAAGTGCATTTGTGACAAGGCTAACGTCAATTTACGTTACTAACCTAGTGTTCGCAGGTCACATTAAAACGCAATGTAACCATTAAAGCCACATTTTTAAACAATAAAATAAAACAAACATTATACTTTGTGTTTAAATGACCCCGTAAAACAAAAAAACATGGATTCCGACAGCAAAATACAGTTGCTAACGCATGAGGAAATAATGAAGCAAAAAGCTACCGGTTATTACCAAAGCAGCAGTTTACTTTATACGTTAGTTAAAGAAATCATTGAACTTCTTGACTTGAAGTTGGGTTAGAAATGATGAAGACTCACTGGCCATGGTGTCCCTCTGATGATGGTCGTAGACTAGCGGTTAGCGAGCACCGGGTATCAGCTATAGTAGCGTGTTCAGGACACGTCATCGCCAAGAGCACAAATACACGTCAGTGTCCGTGCCATTGAACTAGCGGCGAATGTAGTGGGCGGGAATCGTGGCCCAGAACGTGTCTCGTGATGGTTGTTACTTTTGTCACCGTTGGCTAAAAAGAACTAATCAGAGTACTTTATGATTATTTAAGAATGATTAAATATAGATTTTTTTTAGAATGCTGGGATGGATTTTTGTATTTTACACTGGGAACAAAGCTTTGACAATGTATTTATTGAAAAATACAGCACATTTTATGGTACAAACATCTTGTTTATTTAAGGAAGGCAAAGAGCATAGAAGCGGTGTTAGTTCTTTGAGAGAGGGTGCGGCTTCCTGAGCCTCAACGCGCCCTCTGGCGGTGGACAGTTTTTGTCTTAAAGGTGTTAGCGTTAAGTATATATATATTTTTTATTTATTGCCACATTTTATATAATAAATATATGTTTAATGATTGCAGTGATGCAGAAATAGATTTGGGGTTCAATATGTGCTTTATTTAGCCGTTTTATTGTAACCCGTCTGAGTGACTTGAGAGATTGATGTAAGTCAACTTTAGCCAACAATATTCATAACAAGGATAAAGCAGAAGGTAATGTGTATTGTTTTGTTATGTGTTCAATATAGTTTATTTCGGCTTACAATACAATATTTCCATATAAAAATGTTTAGTTACCGGTCTAATTTTAAACTGAATTTCAGATTTTAAGTTTACTTTACAAAAATCACCACCAGGCGGCACCTCTGAATCGGATATCAGGATCTCGATTCATAAAATATAGCTCGTGGCTACAAGGACTTGACTGTAGAATGATTCAGAGGTAAGAAAATTCATTGAAAAAAAGTGTAGCAAAAAGTTAAAGAAGCACTGTTGTCCAAAGATGGGGTTTGTAAATCATGGCAAAGTTATTTGTGCATTTTTTGTACTATGATATAGTTTATATCATAGTTTTATCGTCACGGTGCCCTCTACCTCAGTAGGCCTACTGTTAAGTTTAAAACAATTTTAAGATTTGATATTCAATTTCAATTAAAATTTCACTTTTAGTTCATAGTATTATACCATTGCCACAGTATTGCCATAGTATTTTACACTATAGCCAATCATCACTGTACTGTTTCACCAAAGTAGCCTATTTTTAGTCATGTATAGTTTTTAAATTTCGTCATCTGACATTTTTATCAAAATTGAGTTATTGACTTATTCTTATTACATGACAACTTATTCACATTATGGGATGTTTTTTTTACAAGTTGTTTAAATTTTAGAACTTTATATACAAAACAATTGTTACACACATACAGTTTGCTGTCATGTGAAGATAATGGGCCTGTTTCTGTAAGGCGGTCAACCAACTCTGAGTTTAAACTTGAAGTCCGAGTTGACTTACAGAGATATTAAAAACAGTTTTCCGTTTTAGAACAGAGTTAGGTCAATCAAGTCTGAGTAGACCAACTGAAAGTTAAGCGCACACACTGTGACTATAAAAAGGCATTATCAATGGAGCTCAGATTTAGCAACATCTGAAAAAAAGAGATCAGCATTTCCTTCTCCAGCTGAACTTGATGTGCTCATGCAGTTATAGCAAATATGACCATATATATATTTTTTAAAAAGTAACACCACTGCATCGGCGAAACAGAGACAGTTAACGTGAGAAAACAGCTACTCAAGTTAATGCGTAAGTTTTACATTGAAATTATTTAAAGTATTTAGGTATAATAAAAAATAAGCAATGTAATGTGTGTCAGTTGTAGACTTTTCACTTTAAAAAGTGGGGAATTGGCTGTCATTTTAAAGTTATTTCAGATGTAATTGCATTAAATTACATAAAATAGGCTACTGCATAATTTCTACAACAAATTTGACAAAACAAGAATACAGATAACCTTAGCTTAATGTTCTGTGGAAATGTTTAATATAAGGTTTCCACTTTTACTCACATTGATCAGTTTAAGATAAAGTTTTTAAGATTTAGTTTATAATAGATGTAAATATGCACTTGTGTGTGTCTGCCTTTATTATTGGTCAAGTAGTAGAGGTTGATATGACATTTAGAATGTAAGCAGTACTAAAAATAGATTTTACAACGAGTAATAATCCCATTAATCTAGTTACAGTATGTCCCTGTTTAAGAACAGTTAATTTAAGCTATATATATATATATATATATATATATATATATATATATATATATATATATATATATATATATATATATATACACACATACATTTTTTTCGAAGATAAATTTTTAATCGAAGATAAAACTGCTTAAAACTATTAAATTTATCCTAATTGTAATTATCCAAAAAAAAGGACCAGCCATTCTCGTAACTTTGTTCTTTGTGTGACTGAAATGTAGGCAATGACTAAGGCTAAGGCGTGAAATACCGCTTCATCTTTAAAAAAGTTGAGAAAACAGACAGAAACTCTGAGTTTAGAGAATAAAACTGGCTCCTGACCAGGTTAGGTTCTCAGAGTAAGTTACCATGGTAACTCAGTAAAAGTTACCTCTCTTTCAGAAACAGGGTTGACTTACCCTGCTTTCTCTAGTTTGACAAACCTGCAATTTTTGAAATGGAAAACCCAGAGTTTCTTTCATTTCAGGGTTAACACTGTTTTCACTTAACCTCCTCTCTGAAACGGAGCCAAAGAGACTCACACATGTTTTGTGTTTCTTCAACTGACTTTAATTTTCTTCTGTAAATTACAACTCATTCTAGTAACTTAGTAACTCCCCCTACTGGACTTCACAATATTAGCACTTAACATCCTTGACATTTGGAATGCAAAAACTTTGAAGCTCAATATCTCAAAGTCATTCAGAATGCAGTTAGAACCTTATAATTCCAAGGTGACGGATTATTTATTGGTTTATTCAAAACAATGCAAAACAAACAATAGGCTTTACAATCATATTTACAAGAGCTGTCAATGGGGTGGTACATTTTCAAAAAAGTACATGTTACATAAAAAGGTACAAGGCCCCATATTTGTATCTTAAATGTGTATGCACGTCCTGATATTGCAGTTTTAATGGCCTGTTATCACTGAATGGTGCAGTACGGTACGGTTCGGGTTGGTACTACCAAAGGGTACCCTTTTGGTGGCCATGGTGTATGACAGAGAGTTTCAGTTGACGTCATTCTCGCTTGAATAAATGTCTACAGTAAAAGCTGCACAGGTCGTTCACAAATCATGTTTGTGATTTGTGAATTGAGATATTTATACACAAATATCTATGTGTATAAAGCATCTGTTTTGTGAAAAGTGCTTATCATATTTGTGTATAAATGTTTATTAATAACTTTTCTATGAGCATAATTTGATTATAACTGCAGATCAATGACACTGCGAAATAGCCTACTGTAACGTCTGTAATTATATAAAATAAGTAATTAAATGCAATATATATTAACACATACAGACCATTACAGTCTCCGATGTGTTACCAATTACAGATAAACTACACACAGCATACATTTAGTCCTTATTTGGGTTCAAAAGCAGCACACAACATATAGCTCACAGTCAGAGCAAACCTCTCATCTGTGTCTTTAATCTTCAGCAGCACCTCTTTCAGAGAGTAATTCTGTCATTCATAGTTCATAATAGTCCAAAAGGTGATGATAAACGTGGCAGTTTGTTCATGTTTTAAGTTGCTGTAACAATTTGCTTCTTTGTTTTGTCGGGCTTCTCCTTTGTTTTTTCGCGTTTCACTCCTGTGTTTTTCCTTTACTTTTCTGAAAGGATCAGATGTCGAAGACACTTCAATATCAACACACACATTATTATCATCAGCTCAAGATGTTCATTATTTCAAATATAGACGCGATCGCAAGATCCCTGGAGAAAGAGAAAACCGCTCGCACTTTTGGACGGCCTCGTACAACAACAACAGGACACGGCATATTTTGTTTTTCTTGGCTTTGTGGCTGTACATCAAGACAACGACAAAGTTTGTTTGAGCTCGGGTCATCCATGGCTTATTATATTATGCATATAGTATTACAATGTAATGTCTGTGTATTTAAAACATGGCGGTTACTTCCGGGAATTCCGGGAGTTTTCTGGGAGACAGAACGATACGGGAGGAGGGCGGGAGATGGGTCTGAAATACAGGAGACTCCCAGGTGTTGGCAGGTATGCAATACTTGCATTTAAGACTATTTATTACTTAACATAGGATATTGGTTGTAATTTCGTAATGGATCTGTTCAGTAAAATCCTCAAATAAGGCATAAATAGTTTGAAACCCTCGAAATTGAGGTCCTTAAAAGTGACATTAGAAGGGGAGAGAGTCGCTTTTTTTCCTGTGATCTATTATTATCAATAATAATATAATTATAATGATTATAATAGACTAAAAAAAATATTGAAATGTTTCATAAAATAAAAATGATTTAAAAAATAGTTGTAAGCCCAGGTCATCTTCCTTTTTATAGCTCATATAATAGTAGACAGAACGCTCGATCACAGTATAATAATAATAATAATAATAATAATAATAATAATAATAATAATAATGATAATAATAATAATAATAATAATAATAATAATAATAATAATAATAATAATAGTAGTAGTAGTAGTGCTGTCGCCTCACAGCAAGAAGGTCGATAGTTCCAGCCTCGGCTGGGTCAATTGGCGTTTCTGTGTGGAGTCGGTGCTCCTGGTTTCGCCCACAGTCCAAAGACATGCGGTACAGGTGAATTGGGTAGGCTAAATTGTCCTTAGTGTATGAGTGTAAATGAGTGGATGTTTCCCAGAGATGGGTTGCGGCTAGAAGGGCATCCGCTGCGTAAAAACGTGGTGGATAAGTTGGCGGTTCATTTCGCAGTGGCGACCCGGGATTAATAAAGGGACTAAGCTGAAAAGAAAATGAATGAAGGAATTAATAATAATAATAAAAATAAAACAGATGAGACTAATGAGAGTAAAATTGTTCCTTCAATTTTTGTGTTTGTCTGCTATCAG